CTGTCTGGGGATGGGAAAACACCTCTTATCAACAGGGTGCCTGAATGAAATGTAATTGTACACCTAACCCTTAACTGTACCCCACAAAACCATAATAAAAAATATTGATTAATAAAAAAAAAAAAGAAAAGAAAATTGCTGAAATAAATCAGTTGGTTCAAGAACTCCTGAGTTCAAAGCTGCAGCAAGGCTTTTTGGACATCATCTGACTCCTGGGCAATCTCAAGAGAAGTATAGGCTACTAGTCATAGTTATACAAATCCCTCACCACAGGAGACAAGGCAACTGATAGCATGTATCAGTTGACACCTGACAACTGGCACCTGAGGAAATTTCATATTATACTCGAGAAATTACCCCAGGAATACCATGTCTCCAACTAGAAATGTGTCACGGGTTCACTGCAGAAAAATCAGTAAAAGGAAGCAAAACAAACAGTAAAGGATTACCTGTAATGCCACTGCTTAGCATACTGTCAACCATTTGGTAAACAGTATTCCAGATATTTACTATGCATACATATTTAAAATATTTTTACTTTCCAAATACTTTATCTTATAATCCAAGCTTTTTCTTAACAATGTATCATGAAAATCTTTCATCATGCCATCATTTTGATGGATGCATGGTACTCCTTTTATAGAGAGATGCCATGTTGCATTTTGATTCCTTGGTTGATTTCTGATTTAGAAGACGATAGCCATATTCCTGTCTTTGTGATATAGTCTCAAGGAGAAGAAAAGAACTTGAAAATTGCAAGAACATTCATTTATTCTGGGTCAAACTGAGAAAGGAAATTTATTAATCTGTTACTTCAAAGCTCTAAACATTTTCCCTTACAAGTGCAGAGAAAGGGTAAAGTGAGAAAGCAGGATTTATTGAGAGGACAGAAAAGCTCCCACAGTGGGAGAGGACCCGAAGAGTCCCAAATAATATATTTTATATGAAAAAACTTCGAACCATACCGATTCAATCTCCGGAATTTGTAATAGAATTAATGATAGTTTTGCTACTACATGTGACAAGATTATAAAGTAAACCAAACATTTAGGGGCTAATGAATAAGTGGTTCACTGTAATGTTGTCTATCTTGATAGAATTCCTGAAGGGTTCCATTCCAAATCGCAGTCTGGAATTCTGCCAGGTATATTCTTCCTCCATGATGGTATTGAGGTCTTGGTATAAAACAATCTCAGATTTCTCTTCCTTCTTTCCTATTTCAAATTCTTCCCTCTTCTATGACATAAAAGAAATTGATCTATGAAGTAATATACCCATGCAAGATCAACTAATATGTGGAAATGCAGAAAAACTTTGCTAATTTAGGTAGTCATTCAGGGTTGTCCCCTTTTTTTTTAACTTTTACAAGAAAAGAAAAAAAATAAGCTGACAGAAAAAACTAAAAACTGGGCAGTGTTCCACTCAGCCAAAATTCACTATAGGGTTGATGGTTTCTTTGGTTCTCACTTCCTATCCCAATTCTAAAACAGACCAAACAGAGCATATGTTAGAGCCTTAAAATTCAGCAGTTTGTGAATGCATGAAAAAATGAAATTAGAAGATAAATTAAATTAGTAAGTACTACTAACTGTCCAAAACATAATGGTATTACCATAACAAGCACAATCATTTAATGCACTTATGAGTATCTGAAATAGACTTGTGCTCCTAAATCAGTGTTGTTCCCTCTGCCCCATCGGCTTCTCACATGCCCACCTTAATGTTCTCAGTCCTCAGCCCCTATTCCACCTTTGTTCAGGTGTTTCCTCTGCAAAGCTTTTTGTTTTAGCTGTAATGCACACATGTACACAAAGAGATTAATTGTGCTATTATTGCTTGTGTTATTTCCATTTCTCCTGACTAATACTTGTATCTATTACCACAAAACCCGCATCTGAGTAACCATTAGACCAAGACGAGGATTCTGTCTGATTCTTCTATCCCCGCCACCTACCATAATGTAACCCAATAGATCCTTATTTAAGAGTACTTAAGATATTGACAGTGTATTTATACTCTACCTGATGTATGGGTTTTTCCCTAAAAATGTTTTCTATGTTTGAAAATGTGTGCAATTTTGCCACTAGCAATCATTACCTGAAATCATTCTCGTTAGCTAAAAGTGATCACAATCTCAGAAGTACCTTCTACCGTATTCCACTGGATGGCGCCAAAAGGTCTTTAACAATATTAGCGCCACTACAATTTCAGCTGTGAGCAAAACACAGAGCCGGATGCTAATGAGATTATTTTAACTGTTTTAATTCAATTAATGTTCATCACCCACAGCTGTTGGTTGCTGGGGAGTTTTTTAAATCATTCTGATTGATCTGGAAACTGAAGGCGAGAGAATAAAGAATGAAGAAACACGCATGCAAACAATGACATTTCAAACCCTGAAAAAAAATCCAGAATCCAACTAGTCGATTCTGATTTAGCAAGTGAACGGAAAGCTCCAGTTAAACAAATGGTTTTTTTTAAAGGTAACGAAGACATCTATAAAGTCATTTGTTCCTGCTATCCTCCTTAGGCATCTACCTGTACTCCTTCCCCCACCCCATCAGTGAAAACAGACAAGTAACAGGGACAGGAGAAAATACAGCTGAAAACAGGAAAGGAATACAGTAGAAAGAAGAAATCTAAAGAAGAAAATTCCAGGTCTTAGTCAAAGGAAGTATCCATTGGGCATCGTCAAGTGTTTCATATCCAAGGATTGGCGGAAGCAAAGGCTAAGGAACACTCCTCACATTTATCTTATCTCCAGGACCCAGGCTGGAGCAAAATCAGCAAACACCCAACAGAGAGAACTGTATTTGCTTAGAGATATAATACACATTATTTGCTCAAAGTAGATGAACACACGTGCAAGCATATACACGCAGTATTGGGCCCTCAAATTAGAAAGATGTCATTTTAAATATATATATTTTGAATTCTTGATCTCACCTATTGGTTATTCAGTTTGCCTATGCAAACCTTGATATTACAAATGCAACTTCCAGTTTCTAAATCACTATCAAGAGAGACAATCAATTTAAAATAAAAGGTAGTTCCTTACATCATCTATGGTCATATGTTCCTTAAAGTGCAACTAATCCAGTAAACACTGTTTGAGATAAATGATATTTGCTGATAAAGTTTCCTAAACACAGTATTTCAGTGGCCATGAGAGGGTTCTATGACCCCAGATCAGGAAGCATAGAGGTCATTGTAGGGTGGGCTTTAAGTTTTCGTTTAAATATAAATATGTTAGCCGGGCATGGTGGCACATGCCTGTGGTTCCAGCTACTTGGAAGGATCACTTGAGCCCAGTAGGTCGAGGCTGCGGTGGCTGTGAGCATGCCACCCATGGCACTTCAACCTGGGCAACAGAGTGAGACTGACTCAAAAATAAATAAATAAATAAAAATATAATGGCAGGAAATATTCCAAACTTTGATTAACAGAGATCATTTTTACTTTCTCCTTATATTATTCCATATATGTTCAGTGACCTTGTATCATCAAAAAGACATAATGACAACTCTCACCAAACCAGGGATTGGCATCAAATTCAAAGCAACATATTTGACAGTCTGGACGTGAGGGGAGTTCCAGGCTTATAATATGGCCTTAAAGAAGAATTTACACCACTCTGCATGTTGGAGACAGAGCACTAACTAGTGGACTAACTAGAGCCTCTCCTCCCAAAGGCAAGATCCTGAACTCCAGGCACCCACAGAGAGGAAAGACAACATACTGAACTTGTGACATGGTGGAAACCAGGAGGCTGACAAAACAGTACAGCAAATGAACAAGAAATCAGTAAAAGCAGCTCCACACTTACATGAGAAAGGATCCCCCAAAAACCTGGAATCTTTTGGAGGGCGGATCCTTTATAGTATAGGCTTCCCCTGCTAAGTAAACGCTCTGAGGACCCATTGGCTTCTGGGACACAGCTAGCATTGTTGTGAGGGGCTGCGTTCAGCTTCGGTGAAATTTGTTTTGGAGCTTCTTTCGAGGCATTTGCCCATTTCATGATGGGTGATTTACTAGTGCACCTGCCCACACTGTGCTGAGTATTCAGCAGTTGTTGACCCCCATGCCCCTCCCATTCACCCAGTCATGCCCTGAGTAACTTATTTTTGCTTCCTTGGATGCAAAAAGTTCTCAAAGGGAAATGTTTGGCCGATATGGAAGAACGGCAGAAGCACTAAAAGGCATCAAAACTGACAAGTTCAAAAACTCCTTTGAGCAATGGGAAAAGCATGTGGATCAGTCGTATTGCCTCAAACAGAGAGTACTTTGAAGGTGACTGAAGTCTAAACATATATGAATAAATACACAATTTTTAATAAATAAAGTCCATTTCTTAGGGGGATTCCCCCCTCATACTCAAAATTCTAGGCCTAGGAACTCATTCAATGCGAATTGGAGAAAAGTAGTATCAAAACATATTGATTCATTCATTCTTAGAACTGTTCTGTTCCCTGAATTTTCATCCTCTGCTTCCCACAGACTCCCTTCAGGACTCATTCTGGTCCTTTCACAGGGCAACTGGGCCAAGTGCAAAAACCTTTGTTCTGAATCCACAGGAACAGTGATCGCGGCTCTTTCTTCTTGAAGAATGCCTTACCTCCAGAAGCCATGGCTTTAGTTTTCTATCCAACAAAATATCAAACCCCAGGACTTCGAAGCAGACACTTTCACTTCCGGGTGGCTGGCCGGGTCTGCACATCCGATAGGCATGCAGCACGTGGGGCTCTGCTACAATCAGAGTCTTTACCACCAGTTCCTACAAAGAATATGATGGAAGAGATGAGATGTCACCTTTCTTTGTGTCTCATGGACATGTGCAAACAGGTCCTGGGCCTATGGACAAGCCCCTGACCAGGCCTAGCAAGATCTGTGGCATCCAGCCCCTGGCTGCCGAGCATACTGCATGTTTCACTCTCTCCCTTCCCACTAAACCACGGGCATGTGTGCTTGCTGTGAGGGTCCCCAAGTAAGCGATGCTTCCTCCTACTTGATGTCCTTCACACCAGCTCTTCTGTCTTTCTGGAACGCTTTTTTCCCTATATATCCAAAACTGGCTCCTTGATATTCCAAAAGGCCCTTCCTGTTCCCCCAAGTCGAAAGTAGCCATCCATCATTCCTTACAGCTGATGACTTACTGATTTTCATATCTATTGGCAGTATTACCTTTACAGCCTAAAAGCTGTTGTTTTCCGTGTAGCAAAACCCAGATTTCCAATTCCAGCTCTATGAATGTTCACCCCTCCCCCAGTCTGTCTTGTTTCACACAGATACTTATTAGTCACAGCACATAACTGGCTGATATTTTTCCCTTTTCGTTAAAGGGATTCTTGTCTGTCTTGTTTACAATTCCATTCCCAATGCCTGGCATTGAGTAGATGTTCAAAAACATTCGTAAGCAAAAAAGGAAAATAAAGTTGATAAATGTAGCTTCTATTAGTTAAAGAAGTAAGGGTAAGAACACCAGTTAACCCCATACAGAAGTGATGTTGATGATAGGGAAGAAAAATTCTAAGGAGAGTGAATTATTTCTCAGATCACAGTATGGAACCACCACTTCGACAAAGGCTGAAGAGCCAGGAAGACAAAGTCTATGAGAGTCGGGTTTCTTTGTGCATCAATGGTTTTGTAGTTCTTAAGGTTTGTCTGAGAGGTGTTGCCAGTTAAAACACCAGCTATCATTTTCTGTGAGAAAACATACAATACGACTACCATGAATCATTAACATTAATTTTTCTAAAAGTTGTTTTACTGAAGTTTGTGAACAAGCTATGGATCATGAGAAAGCTGTACCACTGGTTTTTGCTTGGAGTATGTTGTCATTTTAACTCCATCTCTATATGCAGAGGCAATATAAAAAGGCAGTTAAGAACTTGGCTTTAAAGTCAGACTTTCTTGGTTTTTGCTGGCTTTGCTACCTGCTAGCTGTGCAACCGTAGTCATACTGCTTAAATTTTGTGAGTCTCGTTTTTCCCAAACATAAGCTGGAAGAGGTTGACCTAAGGACAAAATGAGGTTTCATTTACCATAACACAATAAGAAAGGGACAGGCAGTAGCAGGACACTGCCAGGGGAGGGGGTGTCACATAACATCAATAAGGGAACCGGATTTCAAACCAGGTGAAGTGGGAGGACCAAAGGCAGCCCCAAATTTTACCTGTACGATGACCATGTGTTTACCTAAATCTGAATTGTACCCCATATCTTTAAAATTTAAAAAAGGGAACAAAATGAGGTTCCATGTAAAACTCGTAGCATAGTATCTAGAATCAGGTAAACCTCCAGTAAGTGTTAACTACTTAACTACTGCTATTGCTATTCTATCATTCCTCTAGAATTCCGCCTCATATGTTAGGCCAGAGACAAATATCCCGGTATGTGGTGGGAACAATATTTACTATATGGGAGATAAAAAGGAAGGTAGACGTTAACTTTGCTGTTATCAGAATCACAGCCCAGCTCATACTTGGGAATAAGTATCAGAGATGCCATGAGAGGTTGTTCTCAGAAAATTTTGTGCAAGATAACAAACTCATAACACCATAGCATGTGAGACAAAAGACAAAAACTACTTTATATAAATCTGTATAGAGCTATTACTGAAACAAACCACTTGAGAGTAGAAAAAAGTTAAAACTTTGACTAATAAGTATCTGTGTGAAACAAGACAGTCTGGGGGAGGGGTGGACATTAATAGAGCCTGAATTAGCAATCTGTGTTTTTGCTACATGGAAAACAACAGTTTTTAGGCTGTAAAGGTAATATTGCCAATAGATATGAAAATCAGGAGTGATGTAATCAAACACAAATGAAATTCCACTACTGCTTTTGAGAATTTCCCATTTTTATGGCCTGATCATCTGTTGATTTGTTATTTATTTGTGACCAGCACAAAAGTATATGTAGCTTTGTTCTTCACAGAGGGTACCAATGAATATTACTTTTCACATACTGATGGCGACTTTTTAGAGAAATTATTCCAAAAAAAGAGGTCACTGAAAAATAGTTCTAAATTAAATTTGGAATTTGCAACCTAAGGAGTCAAGATAAAAATTGACTGCATAACTGTCTTCTCCATCTCTTCTTGTCTCTTTTTGTATTACCCCATTGATTCACCTCAAATAGATATCTATATAAAGTATGCCAATTCTTAATAACAAAAGCAAATTTTCAAATAATCCCATAAATCCAGACAGCTTGACAAGATAATTATGAAAAAGTACTTTAAAAAGTGAAACGTTTATTGATTATTACTTAACTGGTTATTTATAGATTATTAAATATACACTCTAGTATAGCCAAGAATGATGCAAAATTTACCCATTTGTAGACAAAACCATGAAGGGTGTCAGAATTTAATAGGCCCACATGTTTGGTTCATATCTAAACATTATACTTAAGGTCCCAACATAAAGTTAGTTTCCCTGTCCTCTCATGAGGATTAGTCTTGCTTGTACGCTTTCTCTTCATTCAACTGTGTGGGGAAAACACCACTTAAAACCAATGGATGCAAAGCAAATGATGTTCGTTTTCCTTCCTGACCTATTCTCTCCATGCGTCGCTCACCAAGGCAGCTCAATCGCCTCCCTCTTTTCACAAAGCCTTCCCCAAAGAACCAAACTCATAAGGCACTTAAACATTGGGTAAAGACAAAGAAAAAGAAGGCGAGAGGACATATGAAACTTTCTTGCTCCCACTAAGCTACTGACCAGTTCATTAAATCATCTAGGTATCATCGGGTATAATCTTCCATCAACTACTGTCCAATAGTAATATCACCATTTTGATGCTTCTGACTCATTGTGACATTATGAGAATTGTGTCATTATTAGAACAGTTTTTGAAATTTCCACCCAACTGGCCTTGAGAAAAGAATTATTTAAATAAATAAAACACAACATTGTTGTCATCGACTTCTCGTCTAGATGTATTTAGTCTCTCAGGCAGATAACAAATTGGTAGGCAGCTGACCAAATCCAGATGACAAACATTTTTGGGAGAGCCCCTGCGGTTTTAAAATTTTTGAATCCACTGCCAACATTTAAACATCATGTCTGTCATTAATATCATTTACAAATAAACTATTAGCAAAATAGAAGAATGAGCCACACTGGACCCCAAACATGTGGCACCAACAGGTGCTGAGTACTGTCTACCCATGTAGGACTTCTTTTTCTCTTCAAATTACCCCAGTCTCCAGCATATCCTATTTTCTTTTATCCAGGCCACTTCTCTAAGGACCTTTGGATTTACAGCCTGTGAGATAGCAAGTAAGATAAAAAGACCAACCAACAAATAACCAGCAAAAAAGTAATTACAGTCATGTGCCATGTAGTGATTTTGCTCCACAACCAATTGCATGTGTGACAGTGGTCCCATAAGATTATAATAGCATACTTTTACTGTATCTTTTCTATGTTGAGATACACAAATTTCTTACCATTTTGTTACTGTTGCCTAAGGTACTCAGTACAGTCACATGCTATACAGATTTGTAGCCTAGGAGCAAAAGGCCATACCATATAGCCTAGGTATGTCGCAGGCTATGCCATCTTTCTGTAATCTGAGAGTGTACCTCCATAGTTATACACTCTCATAATGCCTATATAATGATGCTGATTTTTCTTTTTGATTTTCTCAGTTAGAGAGAACCAAGTTCAACCAACTTTGAATTCTCATGGTCATTTTTCATGATAGAAGTATCTCAATAATCTATTGTTTATCCCCAAAAGAAAGCTAAATTGATTGTATAGCCCGAATCATATTAAACATTCTCAACAGACACGTGTCTCTAACTTCAAGTACCATTTTAGTAATCATTTACTATTCTTCCAGGATTCATAAATGATCTGTTTCACAAGGTTATCTCCTCACATCTGTTTCCTTTTTCTCTTTTTACCCTAACCATGCGTAATTTCGTACACTGCCGTGACTTTAGCTATCAACTGCACCCAAACATATACTTTTAACTGTCTGCTTGAACTTTCTACCTGAGAAAGCATTTACAATTCAACACATCTAAAGCAGAACTCATCTCCAGAATCTTATGGACTTTAAAAAACCTCAGTTCCAATGTCAACGTCTCCAGGAAGTTTCTCCTCCTAGCCCATCCACTCCAAGCTACTACACGTCTTCCTCTACATCCCACAAAATCCATTGCATGCCTTATTGTTGCACTTTGATACAGTGCATTTCATTAACAATTTTTGTGGTTTTTCTCCTACTAGACAGTAATTTTTTGAGGACTGGAACTGTGACATATCAATCTTCAAACCATCAACCAGAGATGGGTTTATTTCGACAAACATTTACTGAACGAATGAACAAATAAATGAATGGAATGCTTACTTCATGTTCAAAATCAAGCTCTACATCTTTTTAAAAATAAATTTCTTCCTAATCTATTTCAGGTAATGCCACATCCTCCCTATAATTCCCCCTTAAAACTTCAGAGGGTTCTCTGAATACGTCTTCCCCATCTTGGACATTCAAGTAATCCCAATGTTTACCCCCACTGTTACCTCTTTTCCAGGGCCTCAGTTCAGGCTAATCTTTTCACTAATGCATTCAGATGAGATTCCAAGGGCCTTCTCTACCTTCTCTTGTTCTTTAGTCCATCCTGCACACATTTCCAGACATATTTTAAATGCATAATTTTTAATCATATTACTCTCCTCCATTAAAAACGGAATGAATCCTGCATGCTGACCAAGTTAAGCTTTGCTTTTCAGAGTTAAAATATGACTCCACATATTTTTTCAGTCCTAAGTCCTCACAAATCTCCCACATTACATGGGATAACCTGCACCACCTATCATGACTCTCATACCTCTACGCCTTTGCCTTATTCTTTTGCCTCCACCTAGAATTCCCTCTCTCTCATCCCAAGCAATAAAAATCTTGCTTATCAAGGTCCATCACACACACAAAAAGTTGTACTTCCTTTGTAAAAACACTCCTTATCTGCCCAATCTAATGTAATCTGTTCTTTATTTAAAGTGCCTGATGGTGCTTCAAATTAATGCTGAGGAAAGACAGTCAAAATTGTGGAATGGTATAATCTTACTGAAATATCACTCCAAAACTTAGCAACATCATGTTGATTTGCTTGTAGGAATTCTGTAAACCATTTGATGGAACGTTTGCTGCCTTTGTTTTCAGTTTCATTCCGTTCAAATCGCTCATTATGCTTGTTCACAGAGTAGTTTGTCAGATGCATGTATAACTGGGTCTGAAACAAGTAAGAATGAAAGTTGTTACCCCCAGAGACTCTAGCACTGTAAGGTTTCAAGAAAACAAGACATTCAAAGACCAAACACAATTTTATAGTTAAGACTGAACATATTGACGATCTCATGGTAATTTAGATACTATTCCAATTAAATGGTACCATATCTTCACCATGCTGGGACTCTTATGCTTCAATTAAATGGAATGGCACATCTCCTTGAGAAGGCTGAGACTCTAATCATCTACAGTGTTAATTTACACATTATTTAAAATATATCTACCATAAAAGAGTAAATTAATAAAAATATAGAGAATAATGAAATTAAAATGTGAAACTACATATTGCTAAACAAGAAAAATGTTCTATGTTTATTTTGGTTAGCTTGTTTGTAATGTTATTGGTCTTTATAGTTTTCACCCAACTTTATTTTGGGAAAACAATATTCCATATCTTTTCAAAGAAAAATAAAAAATGAAATCTCAAATAAAAAACATAAATCAAGACTACCAAACACAACCTCCACACTCCCATACTGACTTGGCGGTTGCTCTAACTCTTTGCAAGACATACTGCACTTAAGGTAAGCAGGTGACATACACCATCAAATACTGTACAGATGTCCAGATGATTAATAGTAAATCAATAGTGCACCACACTGGGACTCTTAATGCTTCCGTCTCTTTATATTATGTTCTATTTTCCCTAAATAAAATTGAAAAATAATTCAAGATTTAAAACTTCTCATTATTGTCAATTAACGTACAGTCTAATGGCTCTTCCTCAAGCTAGCATAAACATTCATAAAATCTATCTTCCTACCCTCCTCATGATCCTAATGATTACTTTAGATAGCAGTGCTGCATCACAATGAAATTATACTTCACTCACGTTATTATTATTTTGATTTGTTATAACCTACTCTGTTCATATCATAGTTTATTTTCAATGCAGTTTCTTAGGTCTACAGTATTCAAATCTGAAGAAGTAAGCAGAAGTGATCACTGAAGTTACATGTTGTTTATTAACCCATGTGCCCATCAATTAAGAATTCAACTTCTCATTCATTAAACAATATTTAAAGAGCAGCTAGTATCTTCAGGAACTTCCGCTCAGCACTGTGAATACCAAGATGAACAGTATACACACAGTCTCAGTCCTCATGAAACAGAAGCAGCTTTCATTAAGTGATACTTGAAAGAATGAGCATAAACCTTATATGCTTACCTAATTTTAATGTTTAGTTTAAAGAAAAAAAATTAATCAAATTGCAACATTTTCTAGTTTCTAAAATATAAATCTTTAATTTTCAAAAAATGAAGTTGAAAAATAATTTTTTGAGAAGGTCTCCATTTGGCAAGAATTTATTAAAATTAATAATAGTAATAAAAATACCGACTATTCTAGTGAAAAAGTAAGTAACAGAATTTTACATTTTTCTTAAGACATTATCTTTGTAAGTAGGATTAGAAATTCCAGAGTTTCACATCTACCTTGACAAAAATCACCTTCCAAACAGTTCACTGCCAGTTAATCATTTGCCATAGACAGAAATGAAGGTAGCCATGAGCCACACAGCAACCTACAAAGGGTGAAAATGACATACCCACACCCATTCTGTTTTTTAAGGCATATAATATAGTGGTTATGCAAAGATTTTCAAGGATTGGCTGACCACTACATAGGTAGCCAAAAAAATGAATGTTTATTATATTTCAGTGTTTGAAATTCTGTCTTATATGTAGCTTATAAACATCTAATTCTCATAGAAATACCCAGCTCATTACAAAATACATGCTCACTATTTTACAAATTGTAAATAAGGACAAGAAAAAAATAACTGCCATCCCAAAACAATGAATGAAGGCATTGTGGGGTTTTTTTGTCTTCAATTTTTTTTCTTAAACTTACTTTTTACACAATTACAGTCTCACTTTACATATAACTTTGTATTTCTCTTTTTAATATATTCATATCTTAATCTAGGAATTCAATCATGACATTTTAGAACTACATGAACCATACTAACATTTATGAAGGAGAACATCTTTTTTCTAAATACATGAGAACGAAAGCCAGGAGCTTATGTGATTCAAAAGAACTTAGCAAAGTGAGTCCCAAAGGCCACATTTCCTTTCTTTCAATCCCTCATTTGATTTCTTAACCCACTGGGCTTAAGCAAATTATATACACACAATTTAGGATATTAGAATAAAGCACTTCACCACCTAAGACCTTCCTATCCTTTTTATACTATCAAAAGGTCACTAACACATTATATATCATCCATTCTTACCCACTCCAAGTATTTAAATTATCACCTATGAGATGACCAATCTCATTTGTACCTGTACCTCAGATACCTCTTCTGAACTTTAGACCTATACTATACAACCGAATGCCTATAGAATAGATCCATTTAGGGGGCTGCACAGGCATTTAAACCGAACATGACAGCTTTCCACAAAACCTTTCATAGCAATTGTACTCCTTCGCACAGTGAGTGATGCACCATCCATCCCACTGCCCATGTCCACCATCTGAGTTTTAGTCTTCATTTCCCTCTCCCTTTCCCTTACTCCACAAATCCAACCAATCACCATATTATATCAGCGTTACATTAAATTAACCTCAAACCCATGTTCTTATTCTTAGTCCAGTCCCATTGCTATTATTTCAAAGTCCCTTTTCCTTTGATATGTGGTCAGACTAGAATACAGTTTCTTGTCTCCCTTACTCTAACCTTTCCCATCCAGTTCTACCCCCTACTCACATTCCCCACACTGCAGACGAGGTGATCATTTTAAACACAAGTCTCATTCCTACTCTTTGTTTAAAGCTTTTCAACGCTTCCTTTCCTTTTGAGTCAAAATCCTAGATGTGGCCCACAAAGCTTTGAAAGATCCTCATGTCTGAACAACCATTCCTTCTTAGTCTGTCCTTCAGCCAAACTGAACTTGCTGTTTTCTCCAGATATGCCATACTCTCTCCTACTTCAGAGTCGTTTTTTTGCCTGGAACTCTATCCAACCCCAGTCCTCCACCCCACCACACCTGGCTATCTACTCAGTGTCCAAATTTCAATTTACAAGCATTCCCTCTCCAACCTTTATCTCCAGCTGGGTTAAGTGACCTTGCTATGCACTGCCACAGTGCGCTCAGTTTCTTAGACCATCACACTTAACATCTGGCATTATAATTGCTTATTTTAGTTTCTGCCTCCCCACTGGACTGTTACTTCTGTGAAATTAAGCACCGTATCTGTCTTGATCACTTTTTCCAAAACCAGCACAATGACTAGAATATAATAGATTGCAAACATTACTTGGTGATTGACTGTTTAGCCACACCCTATGACCTTTAATGAGATGTTTCTTTTAACTTCCTTTCCTTTGAAAAGTTTGGCGGTTCCCTTGTTTTTCCTTTTCCAAGTTTACAACAATTTTCAGTTTGTTGAACATATCATATTTATGATCAGTCATTGTTTAATTCTGAAAACATGATCAACAATGGAGTTAATTGTGTGCATAATATTGGGGTAGAACAAAAACCAAGCCTTTAACAGATTGGGAGACAATAATTCATTGTAATTTTTCCTGTAGTCAGATCCAAAAATAAGGCCAGAGGGTAACTAAATTTTTAAGTATACATAACGAGTTACGATTTGACTTTCATAAACTATAAATCCCAGTTATGATTTTCATGTTACGTTAGAGTTATAACTTTCATGAATTGTTATGGCTGCACAAAAATATCTACAAAAAGCTCCGTCGAATAGACTTTAAAAGGCACACTGAGATTGCTCATCTATGTTTTAACTTCACATCTGGTCAATGTAAATGCACAACCTTCTCTTCCAATCCAACAGAAATTAATAACTCTACTTTCGGATAGCTTTTGCTTTTTCTTTTCCATACATTCTCTCCCACATTCTACCTGTTTCACTCCTCAACTTTTGTACAAAGTCTGCCCAAATGTTACCTCCTCCGTGAGGACCTCAACACAAAACTGCCCCAACACAACTCTAAAACACTTTATCTGTACTTCTTAATCACCTCTTATTATTATTTATGTTATAGTCATTTCTCCGCAGGGCCACTGCATACAGATGAAATAAGCCTTGTGCTCACAGCATCCAGAGGGGGTACCTTTTCCTAATTAGCCTACCACAGCAGACACCGTTATTTCTAATTTTTACAAAGCTGCCTGTAAGTTAGAGGCAGTCTTCTAGACCATAAAAACCAGAGAGGAGGAACTTGGATCCATACAATCTTTATGCATAATGGGTGCTTTAAAAAGCACATGTTGAACAAATGAATGAACACACACATTCTGTCTGGTACCACTTACCAAATTGGACTCATTAGGTGGGATGTACTTCTCTGTTCCCATTCGCACAAGTCCATCATGATAGAGGAATATTTTCAGTGGATCGCACGATGTCACCAGAATATATATTCGTAAATCAAACTTGTACCCTTCCATTAGGAAAGGCTTTTCGATGTATTCTTGAACAATCAGATGATCCTGAGATGGAAGTTTGTCACCATTTCTTATCAAAGAAATCCTACATTAAAAAAATAAAAATAATAATTTGATATGGAGGCAAGAGGCTGAAAAGGTTATATATATATACTCAAGAGGAAAATAGTGAAGTAAAAGATTCCAAAAGACTGAAGAGAAAAAAACAAGGTAGAACCAACTTTTTTGAAGCCCCAGAAATTAAGCAAAGCTTACAACAGAGAATACTTAACTAAAAACAAAACAAAACAAAATGTAGCTGAATCTTTCAAAGAGCTTTGTAGCACTTGAACTTGATCTAGTTCCCTCATCCACTCGCAGCTCAGCAGTGGCCTTGAACAACAGCTCAGGTTCTTAGTGCAGGCATTGGTCCCAGAGGGGGCAGAATTCATCTTACTCTTTTTTTTCCTCATTAAATTTTGTTTAAATGGGTCTCAAAATTCTGTGACAGGTTTTTGATCAAGTTGTTTCCATTAAAAAGTATTGATTTCCAAAGAACTGCAAATTGAAACTACACTGAGATACCACCTAACTCCTGTCAGGATGGCTATCATCAATAACTCAAAGAACAACAGATGCTGGAGAGGATGTGGTGATAAGGGAACACTTTTACACTGTTGGTGGGAGTGTAAACTAGTACAGCCTCTGTGGAAAACTGTGTGACAATTCCTAAAAGTTCTAAAAATCAGCCTTCCATACGACCCCGCAATCCCCTACTGGGAATATACCCAGAGGAACGCAAATCACTCTATAAAAAAGATACCTGCACACGTATGTTTATCACAGCATTGTTCACAGTAGCAAGAACATGGAACCAACTGTGCTGCCCATCAAAAGAGGACTGGATAAAAAATGTGGTACATATATACAATAGAACATTACGCAGCCATAAAGACGAACAAAATCATGAATTTCACAGCAACCTGGATGGACTTAAGAGTCTGTAACACTGAGTGATCCTTCATAGAAACAAAGAACTGAGGATCACATGTTCTCACTCATAAGTGGACCTTGAACAATTATCGTAATACTATAAGAAAAGGATTGGCAGTAGCAGGAAACTGCCAGGAGGGGAGTGGGGAAGCAGATTGGCAGTAGTGGGAATCTGCCTGGGGAGGGGCACACCTCATCAACAAGGGTACCCACATAATGAACATTTGTATACCTTACCCTGAACTGTACCCCACATCTTTAAAATTTAAAATAATTAAAAGAAAAAAAGTATTGATTTAAAAAACTAGTAACTTAAAAACTGCTACACACAAAAAACCCAAAATGGTCCCCAAAGCATTCTCCTTTCCTCACCTTACTCTTATGGTTGTTTGTTTGCAACTGGCTGGTGGCTTCCTAAAGGACCTTAAAGGACTGACTTGCTTTCATCTTGCCTAACTCAGAACTCCACCAGTGTTAAAGTGGCTCCCTAGATGGGCGATTGTTATAAACATTTAAAGACAAAGTTTTGGTCCCTACTGTCAGGGGCCACAGTTGGGGCAAACAACTGACTAATTTAAAAGATTAGGAGGAAGAGTTGGGGGATGAGAAACTGTGGGACTTTGAAAAGCTCTGACATATTCCTGGGAATCGAGAAGACTGTGCATGCCCTGGATTAGGCACTCGTTCAAGAAGACCTGAGAAAGCCCTAAGCTCTCACCTCTGGCTAACCACCAGACTCTGCAAATCAGGAAGTGAAGGCAAAGTTGTAAACTGCCTAAGTGTTGAAGGTATGCCCCAACAAACACACACAGTCCATCTTCCAAGACAGAGAGGTCATTAAACAAATAAACAACAAGTAGCAACAAACCACACAGAGAAGGGTCTGATCTCCTAATTGCTACATTATAATAGTAAAGCTAGCCGGCTTGGTGGCTCAGCCTTAATCCTGAGCCTTTGGGAGGCTGAGGTGAGTGGATTGCCTGAGCGGGTTCAAGACCCACCTGGGCAAATTGGCAAGACCTCATCTCTACAATAAATCAAAAAATCAGCCGGGCGTGGTGGTGCATGCCTGGAGTTCCAGCTACATGGAAGGCTGAGGCGGAAGGATCGCTGGAGCCCAGCAGGTCGAGGCTGTGGTGGCCGGGAGCGGCCACTGCCCTCCAGTCTGGGCGACAGAGTGAGACTCCAACTCAAAAAATATATATATATATATTAAAGCTATCTAGTTTTCAGCACAAAATTATGACACACGCTAAGGAAAAGCAAAGTATGACCCATATACAAGGAAATTGTCAATTAATAGAAATTGTCCCTGAGGAAGCTCAGACACTGAGCTTACTGGATCATCAATTTAAAATTTTTCAAAGAGCTAAAGGAATCCATGTACAAAGAACTGAAGAAAATCATTAGAGCAAAGTGTCACAAAAAAGGGAATGACCAGCCTGGGCAATATAGTAAGGCTTCATCACTATTTTAAAAATAAAAATAAAAAATTTGTTGGGCGTGGTGGTCCATGCCTGTAGTCCCAGCTACTGAGGAGGTGGAGGTGGAAGTATCACTTGAGTCTAGGAGTTCGAGGCACAGCAAGTCATGATCATGCTACTGCACTCCAGCCTGGGCAACAGAGTAAAATTCCAACTCAAAAAAAACAAAAATTCTCAGAAGAAAAGTATAACTAAAATAAAAAATTGACTAAAGGGCTTAAATAGTGCATTTGGGAAGGCATACAAAGAATCGGTGAACTTGAAGGTAAGCCAATTCAGAATACCTAGTCTGAGGCAGAGAAATAAAAAATAATAATAATATAGTAAAATGAACAGAAACCAGTGGGACACCTTTAAGTACCGGAACATACACATGATGGGAATCTCACAAGGAGAGAAGACAGAGGAAAAAAAAAATCAAAATGACCCCAATATGATGAAAAACATTGATCTACACATCCAAGAAGCTCAATTAACTCCAACTAGGATAAACTAAAAAAGATACACACCAAAACACGTTATAATCATCCTGTCAAAGAATACCAAATGGGTGACTACCTAGGTAAATATAAAAGTCTCTATTAGTGTAGTTTGGGTTTATAACTCCTCATTTCTCTTAATTAAAAAAAGATAATTTCCTAATTATTTTAAAAAGGGATCTCCAACCTCCACACCGGTCTGTGACTTGTTAGGAACTAGGCTGAACATCAGGAGGTGAGCAGCAGGTGAGCAAAGCTTCATCTGTATTTACAGCTGTTCCCCATTGCTTACATTACTGCCTGAGCTCTACCTTCTGTCAGATCAGCAGCAGCATTAGATTCTCATAGGAGCACAAACCTTATTGTGAACTGCACCGGTAGGGGATGTAGACTGTGCATGCCTTCTGAGAATTTAATGCCTAATGACCTCGGGTGGAGCTGAGGCAGTGATGCTAGCACCGGGAAGCAGCTACAAATTCAGATTAACATTAGCAGTGAGGTTTGACTGCACATCCTGACTCCCACTTCTGTGGAAATACTGTCTTTCATGAAATACATCTCTGATGCCAAAAAGGCATGATGCTGATTTAAAAGGCAACTGCATAAAACAATCGTTACAAATCTATGTTGATATGCACAGAATATAATTTGTAACAATAGCAAAATAAAGAGGTTGAACATTGGTAGGAACAAAGTTTTTGTACATTATTGAAATAAGTTATTACCAACATAGACTAGATTGTTAGAAGTTAAGATGTTAATTGTAATTCCAGGGCAACCATTAGAAAAAACTTAAAAAGATATAGTGAAAGAAATGACAAGAAAATTAAAGTGATACAGAAGAAAATATCTATTAACACAAAAGAAGACAGTAACAGACAAATTGAACAAAAACTATATCAAACAAATAACAAAATGGCAGAAGTCATTCCTCTTCTGTAATGACATTAAATATAAATAAACTGACTCTCCAATAAAAGGCAGAGCTTGCCAGAATGGATTTAAGAAAACATGGTTCAATTATATGCTTTCTACAGGAGGCTCTTTTAGAGTCATACTCAAATAGGTTGAAAGTGAAAGGATGGATAAGATTGCATGCAAATAGTAACCTGGGTGGCTATACTAGTATCAGACAAAATAGACTGTTAGACAAAAATTGTTACAAAGGACAAAGAATGACATCATCTAAGGATTAAAAAGTCGGTGCATAAAGAATATATAACGATTATAAATATTTATGCACCTAACAACAGAGCTCCAAAATATATGAAGAAAAAACAGAATTGATGGGACAAATAGCTTAACAGTAAGAGCTGAATTCTTAAATGCTCCGCTTTTAACCATAGACAGAACAGCTCGACATAAGATTAGCAAGTAAATAGATATATTCAACAGATGAGAGAGATGTCCTTTACCCAGGTATGACTCCATTACATGAGACAAATTCTGGGAACACAGAATGCCCTTTTAATTATCTGCTTTTCCAGAATTTTTATATTGTCATCAAAAGAAGTTAGAAGATTATTATTTATAGGGTTATATTAAGTATATGTAAATATAAATATTTTAATATTAAATTTTAACATTAAAATTAAGAAAAATAAGAAATTCAATTACACCCATCCAAAAATGTGCTTTTGATACTAACATATATGAAGCCAAGCTAACAATAAGCAATCGATATAAAACTCCCACTAACACTTCTTATGGTTTATTTTTATATTATCAAACTACATTTTAAAATAACAAATGCTTGAATAATTAAGTTATGATTAAAAGTTAAAAGGAAATTTTTGAACAATAATATACCTGGTAGCTATATTTCCAAATATCTTTTTTTCCTGCTGTCATTTTAAATTCAAAATTAAAATGACTCAAGTATATTATATTAAGACCAGCTTCAGCCACTTTTCTTTAGAAATGTGCATTACAGAAAACTAACTAAACATAAGTAAGCATGATTTTGTTCTTTTTTATGGCTGCGTAGTATTCCATCGTGTATATGTACCACATTTTTTTAATCCAGTCCTCTTTTGATGGGCAGCATGGTTGC